CTCCAGAGAACTAGATTTGCCTTTGTCCACAGTGCGCAACATTATCAAGAAGTTTGCAACCCATGGCACTGTAGCTAATCTCCCTGGTCGTGGACGGATGAGGAAAATTGATGAAAGATTGCAACGCAGAATAGTCCGGATGGTGGATAAGCAGCCCCAAACATGTTCCAAAGACATTCAAGCTGTCCTGCAGGCTCAGGGAGCATCAGTGTCAGCGCGAACTATCCGTCGACATTTAAATGAAATGAAACGCTATGGCAGGAGACCCAGGAGGACCCACTGCTGACACAGAGACATAAAAAAGCAAGACTACAGTTTGCCAAAATGTACTTGAGTAAGCCAAAAGCCTTCTGGGAAAACGTCTTGTGGACAGATGAGACCAAGATAGAGCTTTTCGGTAAAGCACATCATTCTACTGTTTACCGAAAACGGAATGAGGCCTACAAAGAACAAAACACAGTACCTACGGTAAAATATGGTGGAGGTTCAATGATGTTTTGGGGTTGTTTTGCTGCCTCTGGCACTGGGTGCCTTGACTGTGTGCAAGGCATCATGAAATCTGAGGATTACCAAAGGATTTTGGGTCGCACTGTAGGGCCCAGTGTCAGAAAGCTGGGTTTGCGTCCAAGATCCTGGGTCTTCCAGCAGGACAATGACCCCAAACATACGTCAAAAAGCACTCAGAAATGGATGGCAAAGAAGCGCTGGAGAGTTCTGAAGTGGCCAGCAATGAGCCCAGATCTAAATCCCATTGAACACCTGTGGAGAGATCTTAAAATTGCTGTTGGGAAAAGGTGTCCTTCCAATAAGAGAGACCTGGAGCTGTTTGCAAAGGAAGAGTGGTCCAAAATTCCGGGTGAGAGGGTGTCAGAAGCTTATTGATGGTTATAGGAAGCGACTGATTTCAGTTATGTTTTTCCAAAGGGTGTGCAACCAAATATTAAGTTAAGGGTGCCAATACTTTTGTCCAGCCCATTTTTGGGGTTTTGTGTGACATTATGTCATATTTGCTTTTTTGCCTCTGTTTTATATTTGTTCCAATACATACAAAGGGAATAAACATGTGTATAGCAAAACATGTGTTAATGCAATACCTTTTTTGTGTGAAATACTTGATTTTTTTCAGGAAAAATATCAAGGGTGCCAACAATTTCGGCCATGACTGTATATACTTGATTTTGCTTTTCCGGATAGGAAAATGCAGTCTCGGTTGTTGATCCCTGGGTCCCGATCGGTGATTCCCCACTGCAATCGCTGAGTATCACTGACGGGGCAGAGCAATACAAAGCAACATGCTGACACAGTGAAAGACACACACAGCACACAGTAAAACAGCACACAGTTAACCCTTTGATCGCCCCGGATGTTAACCTTTTCCTGCCCAGTGCCATTAGTACAGCGTCAGTGCTTTTTATTAGCACTGATCACTGTATTAGTGTCTATGGGGAAGTCAATGGCAGTTCCCCCCAGTGTCAGAATGCCCGCCGCAGTCCCGCTATAAGTCGCTGATCGCCTTCATTACTACTATAGAAAAAAACAATAAAATTCCAGTATATATACCGCCATCTGTAGACGCTATAACTTTCACGTAAACCAATTAACTTACATGTATTAGGATTTTTTTAGCAAAAACATGTAGCAGAATACATTTTGACCTAAATTTATGACGATATTTGATTTTTTTAAGTTTTTTTAGTGGACATGTTTAATAGCAAAAAGTTAAAAATGTTTTTTTTTCTCAAAATTGTCGGTCTTTTTTTGCTTATAGCGCAAATAATGAAAAACTCACAGGCAATCAAATACCATCGAAAGAAAGCTCAATTTGTGGGGAAAAAAAAGAATATAAATTTAATTTGGGTGAAGTGTTGCATGACCGCGCAGTTGTCAGTTAAAATAACGCAACGCCGTATCACAAAAAATGGCCTGGTCAGGAATGGGGGTAAATCCTCTGGAGGGCAAGTGGTTAAAATGATACAAAGTTTCTTTTCAACATATGTTTCTTACAAAGGTATGCAGGGCATTGTACATATTTATCTTATGCCAAATACTGCACATGTAAACAGAATGAAAAATGTCTGTACATGTGCAACTATTTGGAAATGTGTTTAGAACTCTGTTATGCTGGAAAGAATGTGCTTATCAGTTATAAGCCGGTAAAAACGTGAACTGTATGTATGCTTAAACAAGATCTCCACTTGCATTAAAAAATCATAAACATGATTGTTAATCAGTTTTGGCATTTAATTCCATTAAAATGTTATTAATTTTTCCGTGTCTATCTGCAGCCAAAATTTCAAATCAACTAATTTCCTTACAAACATGTTACCAGTACACTACATATTGGACTTCCCAGCTATCCCATCCTCATTCTCATGTGATTAAATCACTGCTTTTGTTAGAATTCTACACAGAGCTTGATAGAGAAGTATGGATTTCACAAAAAAAATTATACTCACCTAGGTGGATGTTGTATTGGTCTGATGTTGAATCTGTCCTCTGATGGCTCTAAGATTGAGAACTGGTCATTCACCGGCTCTTTGCTCTTCCCCTCAAGCTCTCACTGGAGCACTGGGCTGTGGAGGGAGTGGGAGCGGCTAGCTCAGGCTCTCAGTGGCTTGCTGAGAGGCTGAGCCAGTTGCTGGTCCAGGCTTCTCGGTGGATCTCAGCCATATGGTTGGGATCATTTTAGAGCCTTGACTGGCTGAGTGACATCAGCCGAAAGTGGGCTTTAGCACGCTGTTGACTGAAAACAGGTTACAGGAGTGCAAAACCAACTGCACTCCTATGACCAATAGAAGAAGAGCTTTGGCTGTACTCCCCTTTAAGGTAAGGTACAATTTTGTCCCAGTCAGATATTTTAGTGTTTTTGCATAGCTACTAGTGCTGCATATTTTTCTTATTACATTAAAGGCTAACTTCACCTTCAAAAAAAAGTAATAATTGTATATATTTTTGCATGCAAAAATGCACATATATTGGGTTTTTTTAAAATGAGCGCAAAGTATTGCACACGTGACCAGTGGATTGCAGGTGTAGTGCCAGGCTCCTGCAGACTCTTCTTCCACTTCCCTACAGAGATCTAAGCTTTCAGTTACTGTACTGGAGGAAGTGTCAACTACAATTTAGTGATAGAAACAGAATGTGCACTTTGCAAAAAATGCTAATAACAGCTGCTAGGAGCTTGAAAAAACATATGTGCATGGAGCCTTCTGAGGATCTCTGGATCTCTGTAAATGAATGGTGCAGCTCTGTGGATGGAGCCTAGCCACATCGAATTCAAAAGTGGCAGTAGCTGCAGGGGAGAATAACCCCCACACACTGTCATGGGGGTGAAGGCAATCTGGGCCTGTTAAATGTTACACCCTAAATATGGGTGTAACATGTTGCAAAATGTGGAGTTAGCCCATAAAGCTGAGGTTTAAGTATTGCAATTTTTACATTGGTCCAGCTTGGACTTATGTGCCATACCTGTGGGATCTCTGTGGAAGCTGGACTGGAATTAGCCCATAAAGCTGAGGTTTAAATATGACAATTTTTACATTGGTCCAGCTTAGACTTATTTGCCATAAAAGCTGAGGTTTTACAATGGTCCAGCTTGGACTTATGTGCCATACCTGCGGGATCTCTGTGGAAGCTTGATTTTACTGTAGTAGGCACTGCTACTGCAGTGATTGCCGCCAATTTCTGGGTCTCATGCCAAGTGGCCGCCTGCTGATTAGTGAACACAGGCGATTGCTCACTCGGCACAGTTGCCATTCAGAGAAAACTTGGCATTTTCTCAATGATTGCAAAGTGTTATCTGATTGGACAAGCTGGGAATAATAATATCATGCCCTACCGCTCCCCGTCTGCTGAATGTTTATAATGTCCTCGGATAGGAAGGGTGATATCTCGGTCATTGCTGCAGTAATAATTTTGTTGGGCCAGCAATTCTGCACAAAGTAAAACTAATTATTTTATCTCTACTTGTTTGGTGGTAGGTTTATTGAACTGCAAGCTACTTTTGCTCAGATGGGGAAAGTGTTATTATTATTATTATATACAGGATTTATATAGCGCCAACGGTTTGCTCAACGCTTTATGATCTTCATATATCAAAGTGTAGGAATTAACAACTGCTATTATTTTTGGACAGCTACCAAACAAATTCAGACATTATTCTAGTTATAAATCAAGGTAGGCTTGAATCTGATCAGTGGCTGTTATATAAATAACTGCTGTAGTTAGTACTGACTGTACTGCATAAAGCTGAATTGTTCTCTACATCACTGATTATCTCTATGTGATATAAATTACTACAACAAATCCCAAAGATTTGGAAAATGCATGCTTACAATGCAAAACCTGGAACTACTCCATAGAAGCGTCTCCCATCTGAAGGAAGCTAGCTGAACTCAAGCCAGCCTCCCCTTTAAATTCCAATATATGTGTATTAAACACTAAATAGTGACAATTTATTGCCCTAGAATTAGAACTTTTAATAACACGGAGTAGCTTAATACAACTAAAGAACCATAGGGCTTTTCCCACGGCAATTGTTCATGCTAAGGCATTTGTGTCCAAAGCTATTACTTCAAGCAGCTTGCTGCAGTTAAGGTAAGGAATCACCAGCTTGATTACTTTCTTGTTTAACATGTATATCTAGCACACATTAATGTAAATTGTACATGTTTATTTTTGCCACCATCTGAAAACAGATGTCTGAAGGCTAAGTAAACTTTATAAATACAATATTTAGGATTTTGGTAGATTTGGTAATTTAAATTAAGAACACGAAAAAAAAAGAAATGTGTTCTGCAAATCATCTTGGATGAGGTACTTTGCTTTTTCCACCAACTTGCTTTCCAATGAATTAGCATTTGAATTATAAAATTATCTTATTGGTTGACTTGTCTCCTTTAACAATGTGTTTAAAAGCAGTAGAGAATTAGTTTAAGTGTGTATAATGACAGAATGTCTGTTTCTCTTATTTTGTCTCTTGAACTTTGGGTAATTTTCAGGGTATGGAGCCAACCTCACGAATGTCCTCAGGCCAGCAGGCACGAAGAACAGACAGCACACACCTTCTCCAAAACGGACTGATGACAGGCACGTTTCACCCGAGTCCAATTATATCTGGTGAAGCCCGGCACATCTGAAACCTTTTACATTACACAGTTCAAAGTGTTCATTAACCTTTCATGCATTGTATGATTACTGGTCTGAATCCTACTAGTTTCATTGTAAACCACTGACGTACCATTTCATTCCATGGAATTGCTATATCAGTTAAATGATCTAAGACTGGTTTCTGTTTTTTCAGTGGGTTTCACAGCCTATGTAAAATATGTCTAGTGTTCATAAATATTTCAGAAATAAAATGGAATTCCCAATAAGAGTTCAGAAGCACTTTGTCTCCGAAATGTCGTACATCAAATCTGTTAGAAGGAAGAGCAGTTTGTTAAAAAGTAGTATCGATATTCCCATCACACACCTTCCTGGATAAGGCTTTATGAGTAACAGGTGCTACAGCAACAACCAGCTGGAATTGGAGACATCGCAGAACAAATGCACATATTCGCCACCACACCACGGATTGTCAAATATGTCCAAATATTTTTTGAAGAACGATCACAGAAGACATAATGCAACGTTTTGGAGCCACGCAGGACCCCTTCGTCAGGCATGTGATGATCCCATCACAGAGGACATAGTTCAACATTTCAGAGCCACGAGAACCCCTTCATTAGGCATGTGATGTTGGTCCTCTGAAGCATTGCACTATGTCTTCTGTGACATGATCATTCTTCAATAAATATTTGGAGATATTTGATGATCCGTGGTGTGCTGCTGAATATGTGCAGTTTGTTAAAATACACGTGACGATTATTTTTTAAAGAAGCATCAGCGTACAAACTGAGTATCAGGACACACTTGCATATAGCTGTTATGCCTTCATCAGAGGTCATTGTAGACATAATTCACATGTTGTACACTGCAGCATTAAGATTCCAAATAATTCATCTGATCTGTTCTATTAACCAAAACATAATGCTGCAGTTTGTATAGGAGATAAGTTATCTTTACATTAAGCTTGGCGCATCAGTTGTGCACAATGTGGATTTTTAAACTGGCAATTTGGGGACCCCCAAAGTTAAAGTTATAATACATGAGGGGTTTTGTTGGAGAGGATTACTATACATATACGTTCTGTAAGCTACACATTTCCACATGCAGTGCTGTTGCAATGTGGTGCATTGCAGATGTACTTTACATGTGTTGTCATTCATCATTACAAAAGGGGAATTTTGTAGTAAAATGCACCAAGCAAGCCGGACTTTTAGTCCTGTATAATATATTTGATGAGCAGAAGGAAGTGATCTTCAGCTAAACAACGTAAAAAGTTGTAGAGGGGAAAGTGGTAATATGACTTTAACACTGCTTAATCCAACAATGAGAAGGGTTATTTTTTGTTTAGTCTTTCTCATGATTGGGTATTGATCAGAGGTGGCAGTGTAAGATTTACACTCTAATGCTAATCATTTCCCAAATACTTATTAGTTTACAGCTGAGGGTTTGTAGAGGACCAGTCTACCTAGAACTGATATTTGCTGGAACATAGAAGAGTGACTTACCTTCTGGCTCTCTTGAGGACTCTTGGATTTCCCTGCTATAGTTCCTGGCTATGTTTTCTGCACACTTTGGGAGGCTGGGTATTTGCAGCTACCTTTGGGTGTTGCCATATCTTTTTTGGTATTATATATAATAAACCAAATTAGAAATTCAACAGAAAGAATGAAGTCCACTTACAATGCTAGTTGCCACATGTGCAAATTTGGATCACAGGCACAGAACTACCATCAGCATCCCCTAAAGATATGATAACCCATCGAGGGTTATATGCTCCAGCATCTGCAAACAACTAAAACTTGATTTCAGGTGGACTGATTCCTAAATATATTTGGTCTGAATTGGGAAACACACACAAAAACATTTGATGTTGCAAGCAATCAGATTTCTTTATAAAACCAAACAGAAATTTCAGCTAAAAGGCATTCCAGGTGCATTAAAGCAAAAGGTGTAAAAAGTCTAACAGCATGCTGTAGGGTGGGACACTTGACTTCTGTGTGATGTGATCTCTCTAGAAAAGGTTTGATATACACACTGCTGAAGGAAACTGCTATCTCTGCATTCAGAAAAGCTCATGCTACCTGATGGTTGGATGGCTCCCGATCTGATTCAGCATGGGGTATTCTGAACTTTTGCAGGGACAGCACTGCTTCCGCACAAAGAGCAAGGAACTTTCTCTACAGCAACAAACCAACTTTATTTTTCGTTATTGTTATAGAGCCAGAAAAATAAACATACTGGTTGGTATGGGTTGCTGTTCTTTCTAAATAATGCCACATTGATTTTTAATTTTGTAAAAAGTGGGGAAGGGGTAATCTTTCTACCAGCATTGCATATTGCAATCTGTGAGGGTGTGGGCATATCAAATACAGAGAGAAATTTACAGCACTGAAAAGATTGTCAAAAGTTCTAACTCTTACCTATTCTAGTAAAATGTTTTCCCAGTGCCAGTGTGGCAAGCATGGATGTGGTAGTGGCTCTGCCTCTAGCTTCCCACAGGACTAGTGATGACTAGAAATGTTCTCTCAGACATGCTCATGACCTAAGGCTTTGCCAACCATTTTCTTACCTGCCACTGGTAATGATATCCACACAAGTTCAGCCTCTCCTGGATGAAGTCGTAATCCTTAGGTTCACCAATGGTGCCAATAAGACTGGGGGCCCCTTCTGTGGATCTTTTGGCGCATGTAACCTAGATTTTAGTCAACCTTACAGCCACAGCAATTTATTTTACTCCTGCTTTTTCCCTTCCCTCCACAATGCACCTCTCTGTCCCTCCATTTAATCTTCCTGTGTGCCGGACTTTGGCGCATGCACGTGTTCTATTTTCTGCTTTAAGCTCCTCCCACTGGTGACATCATAGCAAATGCACAGTATGGCCCTGTCTGCTATCCTGAGAATTGCAAAGGTGGACTGCCCTTAGGAAGAAGAAAAATCAGGTACTATGAGGCGAAGCCACTATTTAAATCCACTGAACAGTCTATAAAGGTTAGGCTACTGTGGCTGGGAATTCTTAACTGGAATTCTTTATGCTCATTCTGGTAAAGCTCTATGTGTTTGTATTTGGTCTGTGCAATTTCTAGCCTTATTTGTGTATTCTTACTTTCTATACTTACCCCTTTTTCCGCTACATGATGAGTGCTCCGCTTGATAAAGTTCCTCACTCTGCCGTTAGGTAAGAATGTGGTTCTGACTGGTAAGTATTTCCTCCAGACCCAAAAGAGTGATCCAGAGACAAATCTCAATTCTCAAGAAGCCATGGATGCCTATCATCAAGTCATAAATGCCAACTGTAGGAAATATTGGTCGTGTGGACTGATTCCCTCTTGGGCACGCTAGTCTGCCCCTTATGCTTTGCAAAACAGCAAAAGGCAAGAATTATGAAAGTAGTCAAAATGCATTCCTCATGAAGCAAGTGGTCCTCAGAAACTCCAGGTTTTACCACCCTGGGAAACTTCAATACGGAAGCAGACTTCATCCTGTCACAAAGATTTGAAGACTTATTGACCTTCTGCCCATTCAAACCTAAGTGGTCGAGTAAGGCTAAAGGTCTTTTCCCAGGTATAGATCACTGTTTATAAACCTTGGTCAGGTCCAAGTTACCCAAGGTCACAGTTGGTCCTTCAAGAAACCCCAAGCTTAATGCTCACACAACCCTACTTCACCCTTTTGCTCCCTAGTTCCCAGAAAAAAAGTGATAATTCTTTGATATTATCTCAAGACACTTTTGTCTTCAGCAAGCAGTTTGTCCTGTTCCTCCATCAGAAAAGTGTATACCCCCAAGTAGAGGCCAGTTTTAGACCTGAGCATTCTAGACAGACAAATCAAGTTAAAGAAGTTCAAGATTAAATCTATGTGCTCCATCATTCTCACTGTAATACCGGGGGACAGGATCCTCTTTATGCTATCTATAGATCTTCAGGATATGTATATCCACATACCCATTGCTATAGATTTTCAGAGTTTTCTCCAATTCACAATCTCCATCTACAATTCGCTTGTCTTCCCTTTTGGCGGGTTGATGTCTCCAATAGCATTTACCAAAGCCCTGGTAACAATTGTAGCTGCGTTTTTCACTACCTTGATGACATGCTCTTGATAGCAAGAGACAGGGGCAAAATTCTACTTCCCAGGCAGACATTGATCTTAACTTTGCAGAAGTTTGGCTGGCTTAGAAACTGGCAGAAGATGCTACTTGAACCGACCCAGCAGTTTATCAATCTAGGTGCTCTATTCCACACCTGCAAGGGCATGGTCTTGTTGCCAGATCATGGAAGTTTAGACTCAGGTTCAGATAGTCCTCTTCAGAAATTCCCTCCCAGCATACCAACTCTTGAAGCTTTTAGACACTCTCCTTTCATTCATTCTTATGGTGAAGTGGTTCCATTGGCACCTTAGGCCTTTGCAGAGAGGATTCCTAGTCCAGTGGGATTGAGTCTCTCTTTGCCAACCCATCAGGATGTTACCTGCTATGCAGAAGAGACTCTGATGGTGTACAGACATCTGAAGTCCATGTTAGTCAAGGCCTATGAGAATGTCAGCTGACCATTTTTCCTACAACATTGTCAGCAGACCATTTTTCCTGTGAATGCATAGCCAACAATGGGTGGTCCCTCAACACAGACCTCTTCCACAGTTGTCTCCAATGGGATCATCCACAAGAGTACCTTTATGGGTCTGCAGGAACTGATGTCCTTCTCCAACCATGGTCATATCACCTAGGATATGCATTCTGTCCAGTGATTCTGAAAATGAATGCGATTGACACCTACTAGAAAAAACATATTTACACAGTTTAGACCTGCTTCTAAATATCTGTAGTCAAATTTTGTTCAATTCTGGATCTGACCTGGAAGACTCTGTTTCTAGTAACAAGTACTCTGGCTTGCAGTATCTCAGAGGTTCAAGCCCTAGGGTGTAGGGAACCATGTATTACCTTCCCAGGTAGAGTGGTCCTGCACCAGTCCACTAGAATGTGTTCATGTCCTGCTAACATTTCGAGTCAACTAAGAG